TTTTCTATATTATCATCTAAATCATTTATATAAATGACGAACAACATTGGAGCCAGCACCGATTTCTGTAGGACTCTGCTGGCCGCAAGCCTACAATCTGAAAAACAACCCTCCATCACTCTGTCTCCTTCCGTTAAGCCAATTTCGTATCCAATTACAAGCTCACCCTGAATCCCATGTGATCCAACTTTACTAATTAGTCTAGCATACTGAACCTTGTCAAAGACTTGATGAAATCCAAGTGAACGAATGGCAGAGCAGTAGACATTATCAACCTTCTTGGTTACTTCCTCAAAAAACTCAAATCAAGTTTGTGAGACACTACTTCCTTGTATAAAATCAAGCTGACTATACCTAATCATTCCTTGCCTCATCAAATGCGTATAAATTCTATCTTTCAGAATCACTTCCAACATCCCTACCCACCACTGAAGTCCAACGCGCAGTCTATAGTTCCCAGGCTTCTCCTTGCAACCCTTCTTAAACAAAGGCATAACCTTAGCCACTGTCCAGTCAATTGGCACCTCACCTGTAGTTATAAGTGCTACAAGTATTTCTGTAAAGAGCCCTGCAATTTCCTCCCTAAATTCCTATTTTACCTATTTAATAGTTTGCTCATGTTGATTGTGTTAATCAATTTGGAAAGGATAGCTATGACAACAAATTCATAGTGTATTTGGAATTGTTTCCAGGAGCAAAATGTCATGGAGCCAACCAGAGAATAGGCTATTCGTGATGTGGTAATGTGTAATGTATTAATAAATGACCTCAGAGTCAAAGTTCCCGAGGAGGTAGTAATCATAACATGATTGAATTTTATAGTCAATTCGAGTGAGAAATTTGGGGTTGGAAACATCTGTGTTTAAATAAAGGCAATTACAATGAAATGAGGATAGAGTTAATTAAAGTGGACTGGGCAGAATGATTAGCAGAAAAGACAGTAAGCAAGAGTGACTGATGTTTAAGGAGGTAATTCATGACTCTCAATAAAAATTTATCCCAGGAAGGAGGAAAGATTCTAAGAAAGGCATAAACCAACCATAGCTAAGCAAAGAAGTGAAGGAGCATATGAAGTGAAAAGAAAAAGCATTTGAGGAGGTAAGTGTCTGTGACAGACCCAAAGACACAGATAAATTCAGAATTCAGCAACGGAGGAAAGATGCAAGGATAATAGAGAATAAGCTAAGAGGGCAAACCAGCAAGAAATAAAGGACTGACAACAAGAGCTGCTTTAAATATATATGAAGGAAAACTCAAAGTGAACATAGGTACCTTAGAAAATGAATCTGGGGAGATAGTTATGGGGAAACAATGAAATGAAAGAGGAGGTAAACAGATATTTTGCATCAGTCTTTATGGTGGAAGATACTTTGAACATCCCCTTAAGAATACGGGGGTCAGATTAAATATCATCACCATCACTAGAGAAGTAGTATTAGACAAACTAATGGGCTAAAGGCAGATAAGTTCCCTAGTCCCTGATGGCTTGCATTCTAGAATCCTAGAAGAAGTTGCTACAGAAATAATGGATGGATTGGTTGTAATTTTCCAAAAATCCTTGGATTTTGGAGAACGATGCGGGGATTGGAAAACGCCAAAGAGGGAGGGAGGCAAAAAGCGGATAACTATAGGCCAATTAGCTTGACATCTGTTGTTGAAAAAATGTTGGAATCAATTATTAATGAAGTAGTAGCACGTTTGGAAAATCATAATCTAATTGAGCAGAGTCCACATGGCTTCATGAAACAGAAATCATATCTAATTTATTAATCAGAGCTCTTGTTATCAGTCCTTTTTCCTTACTAGCTTGCTCTCGTAGTTCATTTTCTCTCTATTAGTTTTTTGCCATCTTTGCTAGATTCTGAATTTATCCCAGTCTTCAGGGCTGTCATTGACATTTGCCTCCTTGAATGCTTTTTCTTTCAACTTGATATGACCCTTAACTTACCTGCTTAGCTATGGTTGGCTTATTACTGTCTTCAAATCTTGCTTCCTTACTGGGATATGTTTTTGCTGAGAGGAAGTCTCAACAAGAGTGGATAGAGGGGAACCAGTAGGTGTGTTGTGTTTGAGCTTTCAGAAGTTACCTCACAAAATAGTAAATTGTAAAATAAGAATACATGGTGTTGGAGTTAGTATATTGGCGTGGATGAGAATTGGCTAATGGGCAGGAAATAGCAAGTGGGGATTAAGGATTCTTTTTCAGGTTGGCAAACTGTAACCAGTGGAGTTTCACAGGAATCGGCGCTGGGACTGCGACAATATACATTGATGACTTGAAGGAAGGAAGTGAATGTATTTTAGCCAAATTTGCAGGTGTTGCAAAAATAGGTAGAAAGGCAAGTCACAAGATAGATGCAAACAGTTTAGATGGTTATTGATTAAATGGACAAAAAGTTGGCAAACGGAGTATACTGTGTGAAAATGTGAAGTTGTTCTCCATTCCAAAGTGAACAAAAGAACAGCATTATTTCAATTGAGAAAAAACACAGTAAGTGGCAACACAAAGGGATTTAGAGTATTTAGAGTAAATGCAGAAAGCTAGCATGCAGGTACAGCAGGTAATCAGGAAGACTAATGAAATGTTGCCCCTTATTTCATGGGGGTTGGAATATAAAAGTAGGGAAATCTTACTGCAACTGTACAAGAGGGTGATGAGGCCACATCTCGAGTACTGGAGCAGTTTTGGCCCCCTTATTCAAAGAAAGATGTCATTGGTGGCAGTTCAGAGGAGTTCACTCAGATGATCCCTGGAATGAAGGGATTGTCTTATGATCAAAGGCTAAACAGGTTGGGACTTTCTACTCATTGGAATTTAGAAGAATAAAACCTGATCTAATTGAAACATATAGGATTCTTAAGGGGCTTAATAGGGTAAATGTTGAGAGGCTTTTTCCCCTCATGGGAGACTCTGGGACCAGAGGGAATAGTCTCAGAATTAAGGGGTGGGGGTGCAATTTACGACTGAAATGTGGAGGAATTTCTTCTCTCAAGGGTTGAGAGTCTTGGATCTCCTTGTCAGAGAATTTGGGGAGAGGTGCAGAGTCCTTGTTAACTTTGAGATAGATGGATCCTTGATTAATAGGGGAGTCAGTGTTACAGAGAAAAGGGCAGGTAGGTGGATGTGAGGAATGTCAGATTTAGCATGATCATGTTGAATGGTGGTGCAGGCTCGAGGAGCCAAACTGTGGTTGTTATTTCTTATTGTCTTTTATGGTCTAGGTCAGTGCAGGGGATCATACTAGTGAAGATTGTCTGAAGAGTATAAGTGTCTTTTGTTTCAACATAATCCGCAAATTTGGGCAGTGTTCACTTTCATCCTATATGTAAATTTTGAATGTACAGAGTGAGCAGAAGTTGTCCCAGACCAGAACCCGGTCTAATACCATAACCAACTTTCAGCCAATCTGAAAAACTGCACTTGACAACTTCTGTCTCTCTTAACTTCATTACATTTTCTTCTTCTTCTATTTACTGTTCACTCTTTTATCCTGTGTTCGAGTACATTAGCTCCCCATCTGTTCAAATGTAGCCCGTCCTTGCAGTACAGCTCCTATCTTTGAGAACTGGTGTTAAATTAACTTGCAAGCACCACTTCAGCTATGAGTTCAGCTCTGTGCTCCAATAACCTTAGATCTTACTAAAAAGGGAGTCCATCAGCCTCTATCATTAAAATATTCAATCGTTATACCTCCACTTCTCTCTGGAGAGAGTGCTTTATTTTGACCTCTGTTGCCCAGTTCAAGTTTTTCCCACGAGGGAGAACATTCTTTCAGCATTCACCAAGTTCTGTCAGGACCTTACGTCTTGAGATTTTTACTTATTCTGAAGTCCCAGTAAGACCAGCCTTTTCCACGCTTTCCTCATGAGGTAGCACCACCTCGAAGTTCATCCCAGAAATCAGCCAAATGAAGTACTGGTCTTGCTGGACCTGCTCATGTTTCCATGACCAAAAAATAAGTCTTCCTAATGCACAGAATTGTTAAAACGTTAACCAAACGGCCCAACCAAATTCAAACCACTTTTTTTTTAAAAAGCATGAACATTTTAACAATCTTAATTCAAAAGTATGTTTTGTCACAGTCACATTGCCTCTGTCCAAAATGTTAAGATACATTTCTATTTAGTCTCTTATAATATTGAGATAACTGAACTATTTAAAAGATTAGTAAACTATTTCATATATTGGTTTCCCCTCTAATAGTGTTAGCCTTTTCTGTAATTTTCTATTTGATACTTCCAAAGTTATTTTAATTATTGCAAGCCTATTTTAGGTGTATGAGAGAAAACAAAATCATGAAGTCTTCCATTTTCAATAATCATCTGCACATGACTCTTTCTCAGCATTTAATTTTCTCTGCTTGAAAGGAACTTGGCTAATTGAGTCTTGAACTTGAGGTTATTTGTTTTCCTGCCATTTTCTGATAACTTATTTGAGGCCTGAATTAATGACATTGGGAAAGCAGTTCTTTACTGCAGTCTGTACCTGCTAAGAGCTGAAGTGAGACTGTCAGAAATCAGTATAGCCAGTAAAGTGAAGGAATGTTAAAGATGGTCCAGATTGTATAAACTACAGTCAAAGGACGTTGCTGAAAGCTTCTCATTTATTAGTATTGATATTTGAAATTTTTGTCACACCTGCGTCTGTCTCAAGGCCACATATTTGTAGTTTAAAAAGTCATGTATCATTAAAGAAATAGCAATCTTGTATTTTTATAAAAAGAAATGGACTGCAGTCTGTTTTAGGCAGTCCCTCATGGTCAAGAATTACTTTGTTCCACTGTGCCGTGGGTCCTGAGTTGACTGAATAGTCCAATACTGGACTTGCAAACCCTGCTATGGTTGGGGCAGGTGACACTTGCTGAAGCAAGTGAGTGGGTTCCTTGGGTTTCAGCACTGCGGTAAAATATTACCAGAAGGACAAAGTTAGATTTGTATAATTACTTTTTTTCCTTCTTGTCCTGTCCTTGTCCCACCTGAAAGAGATTTGTTTCCTTCAGAGTTTTAGGTTACATTTGGAGTCGAGTCCTGAATGTAGTCCAGAAAAGAGCTGTGCCACTGCATTACTAATGAAACCAGTTAAAGAGCAATTGGAAAATGGGTCAGAAGGTATCGTAGAACAAATTATGCTTGCTGTTAAATGTATAGTTTGATGCTATCTCCTTGGTTTAAACAAATATTGAATATATGTAACCAGAAGACTCTTCTTTTTGTTTTATTGATTTTATTGTTGCACATAAGTAATGCATTCTTGACATTTCAAAAAAAAACTTTATCGTGCACATGTCCAATTTCTATAAAACTCCTAAATTAATTATGTAAAATACCATGTGATATTTGATACGGTCTGCATCAGAAGAATAAATGCCTACTCAAGTGTTTTCATTTGCTATGTCAGTTGTACAGAGTAAGCTTGGTAGTAAAATTTGGTCTGATTGATCCGTGGGCCGAAGTCCATTGAAATTGCATTGGAATTTAGTAGATTCATTTCAGACGAGACCATTTCAAGGAACAAAAAAAATTTTGCTCCATCAGAAGGGCTTGTTTCACATTCTTTACCTAACAGCTTTGTCAGTGGGAGATATTGTCAACGTGGTTTTGTCAGGGGTTGATCCTATCTGACAGGTTCAATTGAGTTTTTTTTGAGGAGATGACTAGATATGTGGCTGAGGGCATGGTGGATGTAGTCTATATGGACTTCAGTAAAGCTTTTGTTGAGATCTTGCGTTGACAGACTGGTCAAGAAGGTAAGATCCCATGGGCAATTTAGTGGCAGGAGGCAGAGGGTTGAAAATTATTTTGCAACTGGAATCCATTGGCGTACCACAAGTTCAGTGCAGGGTCCCCTTGCTGCTTGATATGTACATTAATATCTGGACATTAATGTAGGAGGTTTGATCACTAAGTTCACAAATTACTCGAGATGGTGTTGTGGTCAGTAGTGTGGAGAACAGCCTTGTACAACAGGATAATGTGGACCAGGTGGGCATAACAATGGGAAGTGGAGTTTAATCATGAAATATGAGATGTGATGCACTTTGAGAGGACGAACATGGCAAGGGAGTACACGACAATAGTTACGACCCTAGGAATTACAGAGTATCAAAGGGACCTTGGTGTGCATGTACACGGATCCTTGAAAGCAACAGGACACGAAGGTAAACTGGTTAAGAAGACATCAGGGATACATGCCTTTACTAGTCAAGGTATTGAGCACAAAGATGGAGGTTATGATGGAGATGTTATTTAGGCCACAGCTGGAGTGCTGTGTGCAGATCAAAGCATGGCACTATAGGAAGCATGTGATTGTACTAGAGAGAATGCAGAGGAGATTCACCAGGATGTTACCTGTGCTGGAACTTTTCAGCTGTGAAGGGAGACTAGATGGCCGAGGACTTCCTTAAATCAGAGAAGGCAGAGGAACCTGCGAGCTGCACAGAAGCATGAGGGGTGAAGATAGAGTGGCTAGGAAGAAACTTTTCCCTTGAGTAGAGAGATCAATGGGCTTAGATTTAAGATATTGGCCAAGAAGTCCAAAGGTATGCAGGTTAGGTGGATAGGCCAAGCTAAGTTGCCCAAAGTGTCCAGGAATGTAGCCATGGGAAAATGCAGTGTTACAGGGTTGGGTAGGGGTCAAGGTGGGATGCTTTTTGGAGGGGTGATGTGGACTCGATGGGCTGAATTGCCTGCTTCCACACTATGGGGATTTTATAATACTATGAAGTTTAGAGTAGGTTTAAGGAGAATTTTTTTCACGCTGGTATCTGGAACTCTTATAGAATGGTCACGACATTTAAGTTGTGTTTAGATGATTACTGAAGCACCGCAGTGTCCAAGTTTGCGGGCCTAGTGCTTGAAGATGGGAGTAGAGTAGATAGGTGCTTGATGGGCTGATTGGCCTCTTCGTGCTGTGGAACTCCGATTCACTGACACTCACTGTGCCGCTTATATTCTACTGATATTTGTGTCGTGCCAAATGACATCTCTTCCCTCCTTGTCCGCACCAACTACCTCCGAAAGAGTCCTGCTTGAGCTGCATTGGCATTTTCACATGTAGTAATTTAATCAAAATTATACCCATTTTTCTTACCCCAACACAATTCTTTGAGTAGACCGTTTGGAAACCAAGTTAATTTTGGCATGATGGACCACTTGAGCGTTATGCCCATGCTGTGTTTGATATTTTGCCCTGCAGACTAATGTTCATTTCATTGTAGTACCTGTTTAGATCAGTTCAAATATGTCTTTTGTCTTTACTGAATTATATTGTAGGATCATTACTGAAGGAAACTGTACGGACTCTCTTTAGTAATCCTGATTCATCGAGGATGAATGAAAGGTATTTGTCATGGTTTTAGAATACTCATGAAACTACCACTTATCAGACCACTTTGGATAAATGAATAATGTGAGGAACTGCATGTAGTACAGTTGTCTTGTATTGACCATTTAGCATGAAACTGTTATACATTAATAATTATATACACAGTACATGCTTCTATTACATGATGATAGTAAACTTTAATGTTGAAGTGTTAGCCTTGGGTCAGGAGTATGACAGTCACGGCTGAAGGTAATGGGTTCAACTGCAGTCTAGACTTTTTTTTAATTACTCATCTGCAAATATGGATCATGACTATTTGACATGGGAACAGGTCTCCAACTTAGGTTACTGATGTCCCTTGGGACCCTGGAGAAGTCCTGACTTAAGCACACCCATTGCCCTCATGCAGAAACTTTAAAATGCCGATTGCACCTTTTTAACCTGCTGTGATTGGCCAGAGCCAAGCAGATTTGGGTTGTGATTTCTATACTTGCCCGCTCAGCCACTTATTTACATAGATTTGGTTAGAGTTTTTCATAGCTGGTCCAAAGGCTGCAGAGCAGTGTAAATCAAGCGGAATGTCAAAGCACTCGTGCACCAATAGCAATGTTCACTCCCCTTCACAATCTCCAAACCATGGACAGTGTTCTTTCATTCCCCTCTACTACTACTACCACTACCACCATCCACTGAAATATGGCCAGTGACCCTTCAGTCTGCCCACCGTCACCACCTGCTGAATCATGATCATTGATCCGTTAAGTCCTGGAATACAATTGGTGCTGTCCCTGTGCAGCATCTGCTCTCCTTAACCACCTTCTGCAGTCTGTGACTCCTGTCTGGTTGATGTTGAAACAGTCAGTATTGTCAAGGTGGAAGCACTGTAGAAACTCAACAGTTTCATGTACTAGAGAGAGATCACTGTTGGCAGAGTGTGAGGGGAAGGATTATTGTCGGAGGTTAGAGAATGGAGAGGGAGGAGGTTCCCAGTGATCGCTGTTGGAGTATGTAAAAGGGGATAATATCACTGCCATAGGCAGGGAAAGCTGATGCCTGTTTTGGCAGAGGGAAGAGAGTGAGTGATCACTCGGGTGAAAAGATTGGTTTGGGGGAGAGGTGGGTGATTGCTATAGGGGAGCGACGAGATTGGTGATTGCTTTTGGGGATTGCTCACTGTCTCCAGGTGGGGAATGGTGTTGGTTACCTGCAAGCTTTAGGTGTATGACTAACTATCCACACACCATGGTATATTTGGCTTCCACAGTGAGGGAAAATAAGCGCCACAGTTTGACTTCACCTAACTATCCTACTGTACCTGGGAGCTATTGAATTACCTCTGATAGTAATCCTTCCCCTCACACTGTGCCAAGAGTGATCTCTCTCTACTACATGAAATTGGCCATATTTCAGTGGATGGTGGTAGTGGTAGCAAGAGGGGAATGAAAGAACACTGTCCATGGTTGGGGGGGGTGAAGAGGAGTAAACATTGCCATGGGTGCACGAGTGCTTTGACATTCCAGTTGATTTACATTGCTCTGCAGGCTTTAGACCAGCGATGGAAAACTCTAACCAAATCTATGTAAATAAGTGGTTGAGTAGGCAAGTATAGAAATCACAACCCAAATCTGTTTGGTTCTGGCCAATCAGTGCTTTCACATTGACAATACTGACTGCTTCAACATCAATCCACATAGGATTGGAAGTGCCAGTGAAAAATGAGGAGTGGAGTGGTAATCTGATGGTGATTGTCACTCCTTGGAAGATTTGAGCCATTGTTTCCTCCAGCATTCAAATTAGTGAGATGATTGAGGTGCCCATCAAGTTCTCATAGACCATACAAACATAGAAAATAGGAGCCAGAGTTGGCCATTCAGCCCTGTGCACCTGCTGTGCTATTCAATTTGATCATTGCTGATCATCCACCCTGTTCCTGCTTTCTCCCCATAACCTTTGATCCTTTTAGCCTAAGAACTATATCTAACTCCTCCTTGAAAGCATTCAGTGTTTTGGCCTCAACTGTTTTCTGGAGCAGAGAATTCCAACGCTCGCCGCTCGCTGTGACCATTGGTTTTGGACTTCCTGATCATGGGGAACATCCATCCTGCATTTATCCTGGCTAGTCCTGTTAGAATTTTATAGGTTTCTGTAAGGACCTCCTATTCTTTTACACTCCAGTGAATACAGTCCTAATCAATGCTGTCTCTCTTCATACACCACTCCTGCTATCCCAGGAATTAATCTGGTAAAATTTGTTTGATCCCTCCATAGCCAGAATATCCTTCCTCAGATAAGGAGACCAAAACTGCACACCGTACTCCAGGTGCGGTCTCACCAAGACACTGTACAATTGCACCGAGACATCCCTGTACTCGAATCCTCTGGCTTTGAAGGATGACATACCATTTACCCTCTCACCACCTGCATACTTACTTTAGCAACTAGCGTCCAAGGACACTCAAGTCTCGATGCACCTCCCTTTTTCCAATCCATTGCCATTCATAATTATCTTCCTTCCTATTTCCGCTACCAAAGTGGATAACTTCACACTTATTCACATTATACTTCATCTGCCATGCACTTGCCCACTCACTTAACTTGTCCTAATCACACTGAATTATTTCCGCACTTTCCTCGCAGTTCACCCTCCCACCCAGCTTTGTCTTCAAACTTGGAGATTTTTCATTTAGTTCAGTCATCTAAATCATTAATAGCTATTGAGAATAGCTAGGGTCCAAACACTGATCCCTGTGGTACTCCACTAAACACTGGCTACTGTTCAGAAAATGACCTGTTTATTCCAGTCTCATGTGTTTTAATTTTACTTGCTAATGTCTTTGAGGGATTTTATTGAAAGTCTCTGTCAAGTTCAAGTAAACCGCATCCGCCGTTTTACCCTTAACAACTCTTAGTTACATCCTCACAAAATTCCAATATATTTGTCAAGCACGCATTCATAAATCCAGGCTGACTCATCCTGTCATCATTTTCCAATTGCACTGCTGTTAAATCTTTGATAATGGACCAATATTTATAAACTAAAACCCCAAGTTAATTTAAATATAATTATAAAACAAAGACGATTAAGGGACAAAACTTCATATTTGGAGATTTTGTTTTGCTTTGGTAGTTAGATCTATTTTTCAGCCAAGTATAATTTAAAGCAGCTTCTCACAGAGTTAAGAAGAAAGGCTCAGCAATTATCAAAGGCAGAAGAACACTAGAGTGAACTGAAAAATTAAGTTACGAGATAGGTCAGCAGAGATACTGTAGTAGATATCTAAGAAGACATCTGAATGTTCAGCAAATATGCATTCAAGTGAAGAAAAAGAAGTGTAGAAGTAGATACACCATCCATGGCTAACGAAGGAAGTTAAAGATTTTATCACATTGAAAGAAAACACAGTTCTCCAAAAATTAATTGTAGCTCAGTAGATTGGATAATATGAAATCCACAAAGAATGGCCAGTAAAATGGAGAAAATGGAGTAAAAGAGGAAGCTAGCGTGATGAAGAAGAACAGATAGAAACTGTTTCTTCAGATATTTAAAGAAAAGAACAACTAAAATGAATATTGATCCTCCAGAAAGTAAACCAGCCAGTTATGAATAGTAAATAAGGAAATGGCAAACAAATTAAATAGATATTTTGGTATCTATCTTCACTGTATAAGACACAAGTAACATCCCAGAAATAATCCCAGAAGTAAACTGAAAGGGAAAGGTGAACTTAAAACTATTACAATCACAAGGTAAAGGCGCTTAAAAATGATTCAGCGAAAGGCTTATAAGTCCCCTTGACATGATGGACTTCATTCTATGGCCTTAAAATAAGTAGCTACTGAATAAGTAGATGCATTGGTTGTGATTTTCCAAAATTCTCTAGATTCTGGAAAGGTTTCATCCAATTGAAAAATAGCAAATGTAGCTTCTTTTATTCAACAGAAGAGGGAGTCAGAAATCTGGAAACTATAGACCAGATAGCTTAACATCTGTCAGGGGAACATACTGGAATCTATTGTTGAAGGATTATGGAGCACTTAGAAAATCGTAAATGTGATCAGGCAGAGTGAATAGTCTTGTGAGGAAGAAATTATCCTTCAATATTTTGGGTTTTTTTGAACAAGTAACAAGCCAAATGGATAAAGGGAACCATGTTAATGTGGTATAGTTGAAGCTTCTGAAAGCATGTAACAAGCTGCTGCATCAAAGGATATTGAATAAAATAAGAGCTACAAAGTGTAAGTGGTAACATATCAGCATGGGTAGAGGATCAGTTAGCTGATGGGAAACAGCTGTGTTTAAATTGGCACTGCTTGGCTTTGCGTAACAAGTAGAATGCAACATGGATCATTGCTGCGGTCTCAACTTTTATGATCTATATCAATGACTTGAATGAAGGGGCCGAATGCATTGTTGTTGCATTTACTGTTAGCGCAACAATACATGGAGAGTAAGTTGTGAGGATGGCAGGAGTCTGCAAAGAGATATCGATGGATAAAGTTAAAGGGGTGTCAGGTGGGAAAACGTGAACATGCCTACTTGTACAGGATGAAAGGGAAGTTTCATATATAAATTGACAGATCAGAGAGCTTTGCAGTACAAAAGGATCTAGGAAACCTAGTACATGAGTACAAAGTGTTAATGCAGCAAGTGGTTAAGGCTGGAAATGTAATGTTTATTGCAATAATGTTTATTGGTTGAATATAAAAATAGGAACGTTTTGCTACCATTTTGTAGGGTTTTGGTGAGACTACATTTGGAATACTGTATATAGTTTTTGTTTCATAGAATAATAGACTGCAGAAGAGGCCCTTTGATACATTGAGTCCGCATTGATGAAAAGCCATTCTAAATCAATATTCATTCCACTTTCCAGCACTTGGCCCACAGCTTTGAATGTAATGACATTTCCAGTGCTTATCCAAATACCTTTTTTAAAAGGTTTTGAGGTTTCCCGCCTCAACTACTCTCACAGGCAGTGCATTCCAGATTCCCACCACCATGTTTCCTAAAATCCCCTCTAAACCTCCTGGCTTTCACCTTACAGTTATAATCTGTTTTTTATTCTTATTTAAGAAAGGATATAATTGAATTGGAAGTGGTTGCAGCAAAGACTCACTTGACTGATTCCTGGGATGAAGACATTGTCTTATGAGGAAAAGCTGGACAGAGTGTACCTGTAACCATTAGAGTTCAGAAGAATGAGATGAGATGTTGTTGAAGAACCTAGAACTTGGGGACATGGTTTAAAAAAAGGGATCTGCCATTTAAAATGGAGATGGGAGAGTAGTTAGTCTATGGAATTCTCTTTCTCAGATAATGTTGGAAGCAAATCATTAAATGTTTTTAAGGCTGAGTTGATAGATTCTTGACTGGCAAGAGAGTCAAATGGTATAGTTGTGGATGGGAAAATAGAGAATCCCTACTGAGTATTAAAATCACCTGTTGGGATTACTATACAGCTCAATTGACACAACCGACCAGCATCTAGTGTGCAAACTAACTCTAATCATAATTATGCATTCTATTAAATAAAGGAATTAATAACTTTGTAAATGGCCTTACCTCATTGTGTATTCTTAGTTTGAAGGAACATGTGACTGTCCATTTCAAATCATAAAGATTTACCCTAATTAAATATTGTATTATTAGATTGATATCCTAGCCATAACCCTACATTTAACACATTTGGGCTGTGTATGGCAGTGAATAACCTAGCTAAATCTCTACAGAATATTTTGGGGCAAGAACCTCAACTTCTAACATTAATAAACAGAAAAATACTGAAAAGTCGAAGGGTTGTATGGAGGAGAAACACCAATGTGGACCTGTTGGGCCAAATAATATTTTTTGTGTTGCAGGTACTTAGTAGAGCGAGAACATGTCCTCCATCTTTTGGAACGGACAATCCTGTTTATCTCAGCAATAGACTTTCAAAGCTATAGGTAGTATGTGGATGACTGATACACTTCAATTTTGGCGAAAGCAATCACACTTGATGAAGATTACAGGTTTGAATATAAGGAAATTATTATGGTCGTGGTGATGACCAGTTGCTCTCAAAATTTGAGTTCAGTGTAACTGTTGATGCTCCAACAGGTTTCACCTAGAAGATGGTCTTTAAATTTTCAGTCAACCTGCCTCATTCTTGCAAACAGCCAAACTCTTGTCATCTATTTTAAACATAAGTAAGGAAGGCAGCTTCCATTTTCCCAGTTGTTGCATGGTTACACTACTTCACTTCGTGTGAAATCGTAGAATTGTAAATTGATGAAATCTATATAAATTTTAAAAATCCTTATCTAGAAGAACAAACATTGGATCAAATGTGATAAGCAAGAAATAGTACACAATTGGATACTACTGTTGCATTTTTACTCCTCACTCCTCAGTATTCCTGATTTATTACTTAAGCTGTGCATCCTTGCCTGATCCAAAACACAGTTCTTCTGGGGCATGTAATTACTGGTCAGTTGCCAGGGTGTTCGTTGATGTCCTCATCATCGAGCGCTGTTGAGAGGAGGCAATGCTATCTGACATTGTTGGCTTGAAAACATTAAATGTAGTAATATTGTGATCATGATTAGATGTGTCTGCTTTTATTCGTTGCTATATACCTTGGCAACAGCTGGTTGATTGGAGGTACAATTTTGTGAATAATGTATTCCTAGTAGTCCTAATTGCCTTCCCTCTAAATATAAATTGTAGAATTGATAAAAGTGCAGTTTGAAAAAATTCTATTTTTTAACAAACAATGTCAACTTTTATTCTTTCAAAGTGTATCTTTGTCTAATCAGCCAACCGTAGTGAAGAACACTGCAGATCCCTCTGAACTTTCCGTACAGAAAGAAACTAAACCAGTTATCAGCACAGAAGGAGGTGGACTTCAACCAAACATTGTAAGTGTACACTTCTATTAAATAGAAGAAGTTACTTTTTATGACACTATTGTTAAGTGGATCTGTTCTTAAACATGCTAACTTTTTGCAGCAAACCCTAAGAGCAATGTTCATTTGTTAACATGTATAATGTATCTTCAACCACTGTCTTACTTCAGATCTCCACAGATATCTGGGACACATCATCTAGTGTACGGGGTGGTACATCTAAAGAGGTTTCAATTACTTGTCTTTAGATTGGAATTTCAAATTGCACTATATCAGAAGTGGGCACAGCTAGTCTGACTTAAAACAATAACTGCAACAAAACTAAAAGAACCTGATTCATTACTAACTCGCGTTGTTTCATTCGAGAGATGATACATTCCGTAACTTAGTGTAAGTTACCATTTTCATTAATTACTTAAATCTAGGCTTCTTTACTCTAGTGATTGGAAAATGAGATTTTGGAGTAAGCACTGCATTGTGCCTGTTTCAATTCAACAAAATAGATGACAATCATTTGCTGGTTCATTGGTTGTCAGGACATTTCCCTGACCAAAGTTAACCTGCTCGTTTAAAATTTAAACAAAATATGATAGTTGGTTGTAAATCAGCAATAATAGGTGTATTTCCCATAGCGATGCATCTACCAATCAAGAGTCCATTTGCCGACTGATAGCGCACTCCTCATGTAGTGGAAGTCTTATTGCAAAATGTCCTGAAGCATACAAGATGAAAAACTTTGACAAAATGTATCTTTTTTTCAACAATACTCAAGTAGGATACTTCATGAAATAAATATTGTAAGGAATATAATGTGGATAAATGTGAGGTTATCCACTTTGGTCACAAAAACAGGAAGGCGGTGGTGAAGTCAGTATCTGAGTGGCGGCAGTTTAGGATAAGGTGAGTGTTAGGGTGGAACAGTTGCTGAAGGTTGGCATGTAGGTGCAGCAGTCAGTGAGGAAAGCTAGTAGCATGCTGGCCTTCATAGCGAGAGGATTTGAGTATCGAGTAAAGGTGTCTTGCTGCAGTTATACAGGGCCTTGGTGAGGCCACACCTTGAGTACTGTGTGTAGTTTTGGTTTCCTAGTTTCAGCAAGGACATTCTTGCTAATGGGGAAGTCCATGAAGGTTCACCAGACTGATTCCCGGGATGGCAGGACTGACATATGAGGAAAGACATGATCGACTGGGCTTGTACTCATTGGAATTTAAGAATCGGGGAGGGGGGGATCTCGTAGAAACATAAAAAATCCTGATGGGACTGGACAGGCTGGATGAAGGAAGAATGTTCCCAATGTTGGGGAAGTCCAGAACTAGGGGTCACAGTCTAAGAATAAGGAGTAAGCCATTCAGGACTGAGATGAGGAAGAATGTCTTCACTGAGTTGTGGACCTGTGGAATTCTCTCGCACAGGAAACTGTTGGGGTCAGTTCATTTGATATATTAAAGAGGAAGCTGGACTTGACTGTGACTGCTAAAGAGATCCCGGAATATGCAGGGAAAGCAGGAATGAGATACTGAGATTGTATGATCATGGCAAATGGCCTACACCTGCACGTATTTTCACTGTTTCTATGAATGGACAATTGTTAATGCAGTGTTTGAAATGTAGGTAACATTTCCATTTTAGAAGACAGGCTTGTATTTAAATAGCATCTTTCTTAACTTGTAGATCTCCCAAAGCACTTTGCAGCCACTTTTGAAGTGTAGTCACTGTTGTCAGGTAGAATTAATATAATAGAAACATGGATGCAAAAGTGAACTGAAGGTATATGTAATTAAGTTTATATTTATTTCTACAGGATGCTGGACAGAAAAGAATCGGAGCTATTTCTTGCACCACATGTGGAATGTTGTATGCAGCTTCTATTCCAGAAGATGAAGCTCAGCACTTTCAGTTTCACAAACGTTTTATTAGTGCTGTAAAATACGTGGTAAGCAAGCAGTGCGTTATAAGTTGTGGTGGTTTGAAATTGTTTGGCTGCCTATCACTGTTTGGTTGCTTTGACAGTATGAAGTTAGTCTGTAATAACGCAATGGGGATTGCAGTTATTATTTTGTCTGCCATTCACAAATATACTTATTTGTAAAGTGATGATCATTCTTCCAATAACACAATAGAATTGGTGTAAAGACTTGCACCTGATCAATGTGAAAAACTTGCATGAAACATTTGAAAATATTTTTCAATGTGTGTGATTTTTATATTTTAAAAAATCCTTCAATTTGTATTTCTTTTGCCATCACTACAGCAAGTTAGTTTCTTTAAATTATTACTCTGCATTTTGGTTTTCGGTGTCGCCTTCACTGGAGAGAGTGATTCAAGCAGTCTCAGAAATCTTATTGATATAGCTGCTGAATTATCACCTAATTGCATTTTCAGCACAACCTGCCGAATGCTTGACTTTTTCTTTCTCCTTCCACCCTTTCAAAAATAATGTCCTTTCAGCAAAGCGAGGATGTAATTTGAGGGTGAAGCAGATTTCGGTCATTCTGCCAAGCCTTGCCACTGTGCAGTGTCTTAAAGTGCATTGTTTTTCATCTTTAAAAGACATCAATACTGAAGAAGGACACCACTTGGAATGTGAAAGACTTGCTCTTTTTAAATTTAAATTTCCTTTATGAAAAGATCATATCTAGTCACAAAACTACAAATATATTGGAGATGATCATTGTGCCTCATCGATTGAAATTTCACATCATTGAAGCATTTTGTGGGGCTTCCCCTGTGGTTTCGTAACTTTTTCTCCCCCAGTCCCTGTGTTAACCTTAATACTCCAATTTGAACAAAGCATGCTAGTTAAATTGTGTTTAATACTGGTATATTGACTGGTTAATATGAGCAGATATTTCACAATTTGAACAGATGCCATTTCTTATTAGTCCCAAATAGTCATTTTAAATCTAGTTTCAAACTCTGATTTTTCAACCAGGGCTGGAAGAAGGAGCGAATTTTAGGTGAATATCCTGACGGTAAAATCATAATGGTTCTTCCTGATGATCCAAAATATGCCTTAAAAAAGGTAGCTAATTTTTCTTTACTACAGTTAGCACTGTTCCTCTTTGTTCAGAAACTTGGGTGCACTTTACAGAAAAAGCATTTTAGAGTACTCCCTGTACTACAAATTCAGCAAGACTTCAGGGATCCCATAAAATGCTATCGTTTGTTAAATGATTGTAATTTAATTTTAAATTAACTTATTAAAAATAGTTTATTCCATCTTAAAAACATTGCAGTTGAATTCCTCAGGTGTAAGCCATTTAGCCCCTGAGCCTGTCTGCCATTCATTGTGGCCTAACTCCATATACCTGCCTTTGGCTCTCATCCGTTTATGCTTCTTAATAAAAAAAAAAAAAAAAAATCTATTTCAGATATAAAACTAACAACTGATCAACTGCCTTTTGTGGAAGAGTTTTCCAAAATTCTTCCCATGTAGGATTGCTTCCTAACAACTCTATTGAACGGACTGGTCTTAATTTATTAGCCTATGCTGTCAAGTTCTAGAACCTCCAACCAGTGGAAATATTTTATCTTTATCTACCTCTGTTTTTTCCTGTTAATATCTTGAAGACTTGGATCGGATCACTCCTTAAACTATTAAATTTAGAGAAAACTGTCCAAATTTGTATAATCTGTCTTTATTGCTTAACCCCTGAAGTCAAGGTACAATTGTTGTAAACTTTTGTTGTACTCTTTCCAAGTCCAATACATCCCTCCTAACACTTCGTATCCAGGTTTGTTCTCAGTTCTCCAAGTGAGGTCTAACCAGGGTTTTGTATATGCAGCATAACTTCTGTGTCCTTTTATTCCAGTCATGTACGTATCAAGGATAGCATTTCATTACTGCATAGATTATTTTCTGCATCTGTTTGTGATACTTGAAAGATCTGTGCATCTGAACCTCCAAGTCTCTTTGGACAGCCATTGTATTTAAACTTCGTAACATCTAGAAATTACCCTGATCTATCGTTTCTGGTCCAAAATGTATAACCTCATACCTATGTTGAATCCACTTGGCACAGTTTTTTTGCCCATTCATCTACACCTTTATGATGTTAGCATAACATTTACATCGTGAACAAATTTGGATATATGACTTATCTGAGTCTGTAATAAAGTGAATAATTAAGGCCCTTACACATTCTGTGGGATACTACTAGTCACAGCCTGCCAATTTGTGTATCTGTTCATTATCCCTGTTTCTGTTGTCTGCCAGTCAACCAATATCCCAGTCATGTCAATAATTTGTCCCTCATTCCACCTGCTTCTGCCTTGGTTAATGGTCTCTTTTGTGAGACTTTATTCAATGCCTTCTGGAGGTTTCAATAAACAACATCCATAGATGTCCCTCTGTCCCTCTACCTTAGTCTCCCTTACAAAATCCTCAGCGAGGTTTGTCAGGCATGACCTGTCATGAATCCATGTGTCTCTCTGATTAACTGAAAAATTTCAAGGTGCTGTGTTACTCCATCCTTGATTGTAGAATCCAACAATTCCATACCACGAGTGTTAGACTGTAATTCCCTGGTTTTCCTCATTCACCCTTCTCCAAAAGCAGAGTGACTTGTGCAATTTCCTATTAAGTTCATTTACATTCCTTTGCAACAAAATTGTACAAAGTTTGATTTGATGAGTTTCAATTAAATGCTGTGAGAATTCTTTGCTGTAATAAACCAAAATTTGTATTTAAAAGTAAAGCAAGACAGAATTACTTTTATATGATGCCTTTCAGGCCATCCCAAAGCACCTCAAACCAATGAAGTCACCCTTATAATGTAGGAATCACAGCATCCGAATTGGAGAAGCAAGCTCCCATAAATAACAACGTGGTAATGACCAAATGATCAGTTTTCATAATTTTGATGCTTTTGTACAAAACATTTCCATGCGGTCGTTTGCATCCCCCAAATGGAGCAAATGGGATCTTAAAGTAGGCTTATTGAAATGTTATCTGGGATATATTTTTACTGTGTGCTCACATCAGCAACCATAGAACTTTGAAAGAATAGGACTTTGTTTTGTTAAGGAATCAGTACAACATCTGAGATATTACAACTATATTTTGATGAAATACTGCAATTTAAGACTTTTTTTAGTTAACTGACTGTCTATGTATTCTTAGCATTTTGTTTTATTTTCTGGTTTCATGCTTTCAGGTGTTTCTTTTATTTATGGATCTTAAAAGCATTGACTTTTTAAAGGCACAATCAGTATGGAAACAGACCCTTTGGTCCAACTAGTCCATGCCAGGCATAATCCTAAACTAAACTGGTCCCACCTACCTGCACTTGACCCAAATAGCTCCAGTCATTTCTTATTCATGTATTTATACAACGTCTTTTAAACGTTGTAACTGTACCCACATCCATCACTTCCTCTGGCAGTTCATTCCATATATGAACCACTCTGCCTTTTTTTTTTAAAAAAAAACGCCCCTCGTCTTTTTTAAATCTTCTGCTCTCACCTTAAAAAATGTCACCTAGTCTTGAAAAAGACACCTGCCATTCACCTTATCCACACCCCTGAGGATTTTATAAACCTCCAAGGTGTATGTAAACACTTTTGAATATCAAACGAAGATCAACCTGTGTAAACTTGCTTAGGATTGTTTGTATTATAAGAACATGGACATCATCAAAGGCTAAATTCAGTAACAGTCATATATTGAGACCAGTGTATTTACCACAGGTTGAAGAGATTCGAGAAGTTGTTGATAATGACCTTGGGTTTCAGCCAGCAGAATTGAAGTGTCCTTCCAGGACAAAGACACTTCTTTTTATCTCTAATGAACGGAAAGTAGTTGGCTGTTTAATTGCAGAACACATACAGCAGGTTTGTACGTTTTCAACATTTAAAAAATAAATTTAGAAACTTCTATTCCATTTGTATTTTGAATGTAGTTATAAACAGGTCACTTATTGCAAACAGTGATGTTCCAATTTGTAAAAGGCAAAGTAGAAAGCAGAATATGTCGGGCTAATACGATTATTTATCTTGCATTTTTTTATTTCCTTCCTTATCCCAATCCTCCAATTAGCACTTTATATAGTAGCTTAAAACTGGCATTGTAAATTATCATAGTATGGAGCTGGAAGAACACAGCAGGCCAGGCAGGATCAGAAGAACAGGAAAGTTGACGTTTCTGGTCCCGACCCGAAATTTCAACTTTCCTGCTCCTCTGATGCTGCCTGACTTGCTGTGTTCTTCCAGCTCCATACTGTTATCTCTCACTCCAGCATCTGCAGTTCTTGCTATCTCTGAATGTCTATAAAAGAGTGATAATTTACAGAAATTTGTTCTGCTTAAGACAGTGGAAATTAAAGCTTTTTTGCTGTTTTAAATTTTACAGGGCTTTAGAGTTATAGCAGATAAAGCCATTCAGCAATCATCAAATGATGCAATTATGCTTGAACGCCAACGAGCATGGTGTTGTTCAACTAATCCAGAGCCTGCAATCTGTGGAATAAGTAGGGTATGGGTCTTCAGTATGATGCGTCGGAAGGCAATTGCAACAAGAATGACTGACTGCCTTAGGTAAAAAAAAAAAAAAATTGCCTGTATAGTATGTTTTTAGATTTTCAAGATGTAGATTTGTGTTTGCAATCCACAATAAACCTCCTATCCATGCCTCTCAATTTTGTAAACTTCTATCCGGTCACCCCTCATCCTTTGACATTCAAGTAAAGACAAACCAAGTTTGTCCAATCTCTCCTCAAAGCTAGTACTCTCCAATCCAGGCAATAGCTTGGTAACTATTTCTATTCTAAGCCTCCACATTCTTCTGGTAGTGAGGCAACTGGAACTGTACACAATATTCCAAATGTGGTCTAATTAAAGTTTGATACAGCTGCAGCATGACTTGCCAACTCTGTGCCCAGACTGATGAAGGTAAACATGCCACATGCTTTCTTGACCACATTAATCCACTTGTGTTGCCACTTTCGGGGAACTGTTGACCTGTACATCTCGATCCTTCTGTATGTTGATGCTGCTGAGGGTTCAGCCATTTACTGTATGGGCCTTCCAAAATGCAATATCTTGCATTTGTTGGAATTAAGCTCCACCCAAGTCTCCAGCCTATCTTCATTGTGGTGTATCCTCTGGCAATCCTCCTCACTATATGCTGGTTCCCCAATCTTTGTATGATCCGCAAAAATCAGGCCACCTACATTGTCCTCCAAATAAAATATATTACAAACAGGGGTCCCAGCATTGATCCCTGCCGAACACCACTGGTTACAGATCTCCAGTTTGAAAAGCATCCTTCCACCACTTCTCTGTCTTCTATAACTAAGTCAGTTCTGCATTCATCTTACCAGCTCTCTGTGTGACTTTATCTTTTGTATCAGCCTACAATGAGGGACCTTGTCTAAAGTCTATATAGACAACATCTACCACCCTGTTCTCATCAATCATCTTTGTCACTTTCTCAAAAAACTCAATCAAGTTTGAGAGATATGACCTTCCCCACACAAAGCCATGCTACCTATTGCTAATAAGTCGATATTTTTCCAAATGCAAGTAAATCCTATCTGTAAGAATTTTCTCCAATAATTTCCCTACCATTAACGTAAGGCTTGCTGTCCTGTAATTCCCCTTTTGTAATAAAGACTACCATAGTATTTGCTAAGGCTGAATTGTTAAGTATATTTGAGGCTGAGATAGACCGATTATGAGGAAAGGCAGAGAAGTGGAGTCGATGATTATCGGATCAGCCAAAATCTCATTGAATGTTGGAGCAGACTCTATGGGCTGAGTAGCCTGCTTACCCTCAATCATCTTATGGTCTTATGATTGTTCACTGTATACTTTTCTGTGATACTTTCTGCAGTTCTATGGAAGGTTTTCCAGGTTGCTCTGAATACCATGACATCACAGTTTCTCATGTTTTCTTTTTAAAACAAAAACTTGCCCTTATTTTTCTTTCCAATGTGGATAACCACCTACTTCCCTACAAGTTCCATCTGCCATGTTCTTGCTTATTTACTTAATCTGTCTAAATCCATTTGCGTCTTTGTGTCCTTCTCATAGTCTATTGCCCACCAAACCTTGGATCGATGGCAGACTTGGATACATTGTACTCATCTATGTAATTAATGCATTTTGTAATTGGCTGAGGCCTAAGTACAGAGCACACCACACCCACCCCACTAAACTTTAAATAACTTGTATATTCCTCCTGTCTTGTCCTTCCATTAATCAATCAATGCACAATCCATACTAAAATATTGCTCGTAATCCCATGGTCCATTTTGTATAATAACATTGTGGCACTTAAATCTAAATATTACTACATCTGCCAATTTAAGAGAAGCCAACAGATTTGTAAAACACAATTTCTCTTTTCTAAAACGTGACCAAATTCTACCTAATCATATTATGATTTTCTCAGTATCATGTTGATGTAGCCATATTAATAGTTCCTCCCACATTAATTCTGCCAACCTCCTTTCATACAATCATAAAATCCCTATAGTGCAGAAAGAGGCCATTTGGTCCATCAAGTCTGCACTGAACCTCTGAAGGGTATGCCACCAAGCCTGTCACCCTGTCCTTGCAACCCTGCATTTTACCATAGCTAAACCACCTAACCTGCACTTCCCTGGATACAAAGGGGCAATTTAGCATCGCCAATTCACCTAACCTGCACATCTTTAGACTATGGGTTGAAACTGGAGCACCTGAAGAAACCCACACAGACTGGGAGAACGTGCAAACTCAAGCATTTGGAGATCTTGCATTCCAGTAAGGTATTATCCAGTCTTTTCTCCCTTTAGCTGATTCCCTGATCAACAGTGCATTGATTTCAAAATACGAGGGTGAAAATTTCTCCCTCAAAGTTGGTAGATTCCAAATTCAAAGAATTGAGAGAGGACAGAGCTGGAGTAGTAATCTAATTTTCAACCGTCTCTAAGAAAATGTCTTTGTAATATGGAATATGTGTATCAGAGCTTGTGCTAGTGAAATATTAGGTGCTGAAGTTTGGCAGATGCACAAAAGAGTGAAATTGGTTAAGAAAGTAACTGAAATGGGACATAAATAGCTCCACGGGAGCACATTCAGCAGCTAAGGTCCCGTAAGAGTTCCAACAATTTGAAGGAAATAAAATTTTGTATCCAATTAAATAAATACTGCAGACTTGTAAATAAGATGGTGTGTAATTTTAAAAATGCACTGACCAAATACACACACAGTTCCAAACCTGAGAATATAGCTACATTCACCTAATTAATTGACTACTATTGGCAATTATAAATAAGTATTCTTGTTGGCTCAAAGAATTGTCTATTAATTAGTTATAGTTTGAAAATTGCTTCCATTGTGTGAGCCAAATGTCTGCCTTTTAAGCTCTGAATGTCTGTGGTTGTAATTTTTCTTGTAAGATTTCACAGATGTAACTTTTTACTAGAGTAAGGGATCCTGACCAGATTTTGAAAACTGCAATAGTATATTTTAGCATAAAATGCACTACTTTCTTGCCTTTTGTTTTCCTCCTGTTTTAAATGGAACTTTGTTCATATCTTTTTGTTTGTTTCCCTCTTTTCCTCTATTCTAAATTCCAAACTTCCAAAGGCTACTTCTCTAATAAAGCGGTGTGAAGAATTCATCTAATTGGATATGTTATGTAAATGATAATTATATTTCTATAAAGAAATTTGCTTGGATTTTTTTTCTCTTTTAATTGGTTAAACTGACTCTGAAATGCAGCTTTGAGGTTTATCTCTAAGGTTATGGAAATCAATTCACTGATTACCTAAAGGAACATCTTTTGTACAACAAGAGGAAAAGAGATTTATATAAATGAAGAGTGTATGTGAAAGTGGTCCCAAAAATGTTCAAGGTTATCTTTAGCAGTTTGTTATTTTAATTTACTGACAATGATACTGTACTTAAAAGAAAATATTTGTTATTTTTCCAGGAGCAGTTTTGTATATGGGTCGTATTTGAGTAAAGATGAGATTGCATTCTCAGATCCTACTCCAGATGGCAAACTCTTTGCAACACAGTATTGTGGAACACCCAGATTCCTTGTATACAACTTTGTCAGCTAACCTCTCTCAGATTGATATGAGACTTTGCAATTATTGGTGACAGTGACTTAATACAGCCTTCAACAATTGGTATAATTGTGTGCAAACTCTTCACAAATGTGACCCATGTTTTTGGGAGCTAGACTGAAGGAACTGTATTGCTTTTTATTACTGTGAACTCAGGACTGATTGCAACCAAATGGTTGCTTTTATATTTTAGAAAACTGGAATGGATGCAGTAACATTGGAAATTCTGTTTTTTATTTTAAACTGAAATAGTTTAACTCTTTCAGAAAAGCATGCCTTTTAGTTCATTCATGTTTACAGATTTTAGGATGTTTTATGTAAGGCAGGCAAATCATTAACTGTAAAAATGTTGAAAACTGGTTATACAATGTACATAAAATATGCTATAAAACTAAGAGACAATTAGCGTTGGTGTTTCTAAACGGTTCTATGACTTCCTTAGTTTGTATATACCTGTACAGCAAACAATCAAATTTGAATGTGTTTTTCCTTTGGGAGAATGAAGTGAGTGGTCTGATATCTAGTTTATTGTGTTAGGTGATACTGGAACTTTCCTAGTTTGATTCAGGGATATTGGACCGCTGCACTAAAAACTCTGCTTTTGAGGTTATCTGATTAGTTGCATATTTTATCAAACTATTAAAATCTTGCTATTGGTTTTGCTCTGGAAATATCCAGTTGTCATTGTTCAAAATGTAATACCTCATTTAGTATTGATGTTAAACCACTGCAATATTAGGTGTCCAAGCTAAAAGAAAATGGGCACCTTGTATTCATGTCTTGACTCTGGTTTTGAAAAGATTTGTGTAATCTACTTAGAGTAGCATATATAAATCTGATTGTGCCTTTTTCAGCGTAGGTCAAACTTTGGGATTGAATGCAATGGTTTCAACTGGTCTAACTCTCTATTGGATAACTACAGTAACTTTTATAGGCTTTATTTTAAAACTCTGAAGGGAGAACCAGTGCAATTCAATACAATAAGATCTGTAAGCAAGCTCTATTTCTGTAAAACAAATGGTTGAAAGGCTATGACCAACCTGTGTGATAAATACTGCAGCAAAATTTACAGAAGACTGTTCGATTTCTTACCACCACTTCCATACTGTTTATTTTTGATCTGTAATGTTGAGCCTACATTTTTGATTTGTGATGGAGAGAACCATCAGATATGAAGGCAAGAGGCTGAAGAACTGGTCTTTTTAAATTTCTGTTATGTTAAATGATGAATGGTTTCACCAAAAGTAAACAATCCTAAACAACAATTAGGATTACGCTTTAAAAAGTATATAAGTAATCTAGTCTGGATATGTCACAAATCAGTCTATTTATCTTGTCTATTGTATTTGTAGTTGGATCATGTGATGGTTTTCAAACTATAAATTTCAGGGTAAAATTGAAATGCTCCACATCCAAGATCTAATTTGTAAATTCAATTTGTATTTTTGAACCTGCTGAGCTTTATATAGCTTACAAATATTTAACATGTATTCATCAAGGGCAGATAGTTGGGATGTTTCTCCACAGTCAGATTGTGCCAAGATTTGATTGAGCCAGTAATCCTTTGGAGGTCCCTAGTTAAGCCATAATGTGTAAAATCCCAAGGTATTGAATGAATGACTCCTGGACTGTTTGTATTTATGCACTTCTCTTAACCTGGGTCATTTGGATATAAGAAAGAAAACGTTCTTGTGTTGCTTGAACTTAAAATGATTTTTGTTGCAGGTTATGATGATTAGGTATGTTTAAATTAAAATATTGTTTAAACTATAGTTAAGGTTAATTTTTAACAATGTTTGAAGATGAAATTAGAAATATATATGTCAGAATGCTTGGGATTTAAAGAAGCATTTTAATGTGAACGGTTTTAATATGGCTTCGTTTTTACTAAAAAATACTTATTTATCCTATTTACTGCAATCCAAAACCTCAGTACAATAAAATCTGATCAGTAATTAACAAAAGAAGTAGTTCTAGAACCTATCATATACCCAGTCATCTTTTCAGTTGCCCAAGTTCAGGATGGTTTAAAGTTTACCTCGTATAATCTAATGATTTGTAAATAAGTATAGAATTATCAAGTTGGGAACAGCGGGATGCAGAAGGTTACCAAAGTCCTGAAGATGCAATTCTAAAGCTGAAGGCAAGTTAGATGACATCTTTTTATTATCTATTGCCTTTCAGGATCCCACTGCTCCCAGGGTGGTATTTCTGTTTATACCATAATGGTACAATGTGTTTTTTTTTACAAACAGTTAAATGCTGCAGAATGTCATGTGGCCTAAGGTCATATGCTAGCATCAGTATTGCTTACAGGTTATCACATAACCCTCTGCAATTCATATGTGGTATGAATCTGTACACAATATTGTATGTTATCAGTTTAGATCTGTTTTGACTGGGAGGAGGCTAAAATTGTTAATGTTATGATCACACTCAACCTAGTAATATATATGCACTAGATATTAAATGGACCAAATGCAGATGGGTTGAAGTTAACTTTCTGGACTGACTTTTTTTTTCTTTAATTCTGAAACTATTTAAAAGCAAATCATATGAGCTATATTTGCATTTAAACAATTGCTTAAACGGGTAACTTGGAAATCTACGGTTTTAAGACACTGTGTACAACTGAATACTAACAATGTTTGAAAAAGTAAACCTTTTTTAGTGAATACGTTAATTTTATATTGTCTTTTATGGAACTAATTTTGAAGGTTACTGCACATTGTTTAATAATTTGAGTGTAAAAATACAGGCCCCTCCCTACAAGTTGTAGCTGATACCATTCTTGTGCATTGTTATCTTGGTCAACTTTATCTTGTGATTTAGTCACATGCCTGTTCTGTGTTTTTCTGAAAAGAAATGACAATTACAATGCATCCCATTGGAAGATACATGATGCTGCGTGTATTTTGTTCCACTTTAAATACTTTGTAAGGAGGAAAATGTTCTGAGTTTAATTTATAAATGACTTTGCTAATACAATAAATTTGATTTGTTGGAGGGCTAAAGTGCTCGTTAGATGAATTATTTCTGGTAAATTGTGCAAGCCAGCAAATTAATATAGTTTAATAAACTGCTGGAGTAGGTCTAACTAAAACTACTTTTTGTTTGTTTTCTACCTTTTGTGTTTGGATGTCTCCTTATCAGACTGAATTTTAACTTTTTTATAAAAGTGGCAGGCCTAATTGGGTCAAGTTTTGGCAGGCTTGGTTGAAGTCTCAAATCTCTAACTTATTTCAGACTTTCACTGAAGTTGAAAGGTGGGCATGTGACCAACTCGATCCAGCGGGGTGAGTTGTGACTTGAAACACGGTAATGAGGTCAGGAGTATTGTTGTCATTTGTGTTTCAAAGTTTAAATGTTGCTGCCAGGTTCCCTATGGGCCAGGTAACCCAGTAGAGTTCTCAGAGTCTATTCAGAAATCAAGTGCCTTAACACACCCCACCCTGATAACTCTGCAGTACATGCCAGAATCTCAGTTGTGGGTTCCTTTGAATTTCTGGCAGACCAACTTGTTATGGGCTGTTTGGTTGGCATAAGTTCTGCCTGTTGTCTTTGGATTTGTGATCATTGCTTCAGTGAAACAGTGCTGCAGCCTTAGGTGACTTTTGATTGACCACTTGATTCATTTTTCCTTCCACCTCCTACTCTGCTACCAACCTGCCAACACAACCCCTTGTCTTTGCTGAGTATGTTTCCACATTGCCTGAACGGGTCCTATTAACTAATTATATGGTGAATATTACTGTACATCACCAATGTTGGTTTTGATAACATGGTGCTGAGTTAAAATGCAAGTAAGTTCTGTAATTTGAATTAATCTCACGTTCCTAATTTAAATCTGTGCCTTTTATATATTCAAATTATGCTGTGGTGTTGTTGATATGTTTCAATGAGACCAATGTCCACTGTTGTCATGTTGTGACCTTGACTTGGGCAAATCCTAATGGATGAACAGTTGACATGAGTAATCATGTGGAACTCACTGATGAAGTTATTCCATTAGAGTTGCTAGGTTCTGGTATAAAAACAGTATAGAGGTGGTGGAAAAAGTGCAAACCAAGGACTGACCTGATAAGGTATTTAAGGTTGTGAAAATATTTGATAGGCTAGTTGTGGAGAGATCCTCAAATTTGAGGAAGACCAAATCATGGGGCTGTAAATATAAAGTAGTTATGAATGCAAATCAGTTACTTGATAAAGTGGTGCATTCTTTCTTGGTTGAGATTTTGAGTTTGTACTGGTTGACCAAATAATCAGTGAGCGAAATTACATGAAGTGTAAGAGATTGAAAAGTTAAAATGAATATGGACCATCTTGTTTCCTTTGCTTAATTAATATAAGTGACGTCTCACTTGGTCTGGAAATTTAGTTGTACCCATTTTTATTTGGGATCAGTCTTGATGTCTGACTAGTGAGGCTGGTGGTGTCCCTGATATTGAGCCTCAGGCTTGATTTCTTTAGGCTGACGAGATAGAAACGGATAGTCTGCCAGGATTGAATATTGAGCTTCTGCACTATAACACTGTCCCAGAGGTAAATAATGAATAAGGATCATTTGGATGGGGAGGGAAGTAAGGGCAGCAAGGTGAGTACAATCAGGTGAGTAGTGGCTAGCAATCACACACATCATTTACACTCAAACAGCCATTAAGACGAGGTACTGATGTAAGTTTTATTTATTGGTGGGATATGAGCGTCACTGGTTAGGCCAGCATTTATTGCCCATCACTAATTACGGAAAGGCACTACAGCAATGTGGTGGTCTCGAGTCACATTTTGAGTTAAAGTAGAGATGTATTATGGTTCTAACTGAATTATCTGCATAGTTAGTGAGGAAAAGTTGTAGGGATAAAACTGTAAAACTGACCTCCCTTTCTTCCATAGATAACAAGGTGCAGAGCTGGTCAAGGGGGTGGGATGAGGTTAGCAGGTAGGAGATGAGGGTGGGGCTTGAGGTGGGAGGAAGGACAGGTTAGGGAGGCAGGGACGAGCTGGGCTGGTTTTGGGATGCGGTAGGGGGAGGGGAGATTTTGAAGCTTGTGAAGTCCACATTGATACCATTGGGCTGCAGGGTTCACAAGCGGAATATGAGTTGTTGTTCCTGCAACCTTCGGGTAGCATCGTTGTGGCACTGCAGGAGGCCCAGGATGGACATGTCGTTTGAGGAATGGGAGGGGGAGTTGAAATGGTTCGCGACTGGGAGATGCAGTTGGTTAGTGTGAACCGAGCATAGGTGTTCTGCAAAGCGGTCCCCAAGCCTCCGCTTGGTTTCCCCGATGTAGAGGAGGCCACAACGGGAACAGCGGATGCAGTATACCACATTAGCAGATGTGCAGGTGAACATCTGCTTGATGTGGAAAATCTTCTTGGGGCCTGGGATGGGGGTGAGGGGGGAGGTGTAGGGGCAGGTGTAGCAATTCCTGTGGTTGCAGGGAAAAGTGCCGGGTGTGGTGGGGCTGGAGGGGAGTGTGGAGCGGACAAGGGAGTCACAGAGAGAGTGGTCCCTCCGGAAAGCAGATGATAAGGGTGGGGAGGGAAAAATGTCTTTTGTAGTGGGGTCGGATTGCAGATGGCGGAAGTGTCGGAGGATGATGCGTTGGATCCGGAGGTTGTTGGGGTGGTACGTGAGGACGAGGGGGATTCTGTTTTGGTTGTTATTGCGGGGAGGGGGTGTGAGGGATGAGTTGCGGGAAATGCAGGAGACACGGTTGAGGGCGTTCTCAACCACTGAGCGGGGGAAGTTGCGGTCCTTGAAAAACGAGGACATCTGAGATATACGGGAGTGGAATGCCTCATCCTGGGAGCAGAGGTGAAGGAATTGGGAATAGGGGATGTCATTTTTGCAGGAAGGTGGGTGGGAGGAGGTGTATTCTAGGTAGCTGTGGGAGTCGGTGGGCTTGAAATGGATATGGGTTTCCAGGTGGTTGCCAGAGATGGAAACAGAGGTCCAGGAAGGAGAGAGAGATATGAGAGATGGTCCAGGTGAACTTAAGGTTGGGGTGGAAGGTGTTGGTGAAGTGGATGAACTGATCGAGCTCCTCGTGGGAGCACGAGGCGGCGCCGATACAGTCATCAATGTAACGGAGGAAGAGGTGGGGTTTAGGGCCAGTGTAGGTATGGAAGAGGGATTGTTCCACGTAACCTACAAAGAGGCAGGCATAGTTTGGGCCCATGCGGGTACCCATGGCCACCCCCTTTCTCTGTAGGAAGTGGGTTTCCTTCCCAAAATCCACAAACCTGATTGCCCTGGTCGACCAGTTGTCTCCGCCTCCACCTGCCCCACCGAACTTACCTTGATTCCATTTTCTCCCCTTTGGTCCAGGAACTTCCTACCTACGTCCGTGACACCATCCATGCCCTCCACCTCCTCCAGAACTTCCAATTCCCCGGTCCCCAACACCTCAACTTTACCATGGACTTCCAGTCCCTATACACCTGCATTCCCCATATAGATGGCCTAAAGGCCCTCTGCTTCTTCCTGTCCTGCAGGCCTGACCAGTCCCCCTCCACTGACACCCTCATCCGCTTAGCCAAACTCGTCCTCACCCTCAACAACTTCTCTTTCAATTCCTCCCACTTCCTACACACAAAGGGGGTGGCCATGGGTACCCGCATGGGGCCCAAGCTATGCCTGCCTCTTTGTAGGTTACGTGGAACAATCCCTCTTCCGTACCTACACTGGCCCGAAACCCCACCTCTTCCTCCGTTACATTGATGACTGTATCGGCGCCGCCTTGTGCTCCCACGAGGAGCTCGAACAGTTCATCCACTTCACCAACACCTTCCACCCCAACCTTAAGTTCACTTGGACCATCTCTAATACCTCTCTCTCCTTCCTGGACCTCTGTCTCCATCTCCGGCAACCACCTGGAAACCGATATCCATTTCAAGCCCACCAACTCCCACAGCTACCTAGAATACACCTCCTCCCACCCACCTTCTGCAAAAATGCCATCCCCTATTCCCAATTCCTTCGCCTCCGCCGCATCTGCTCCCAGGATGAGGCATTCCACTCCCGTACATCTCAGATGTCCTCGTTTTTCAAGGACCGCAACATCCCCCCCCCCCCACAGTGGTCGAGAACGCCCTCGACTGTGTCTCCCGCATTTCCCGCAACTCATCCCTCACACCCCCTCCCCGCAATAACAACCAAAACAGAATCCCCCTCGTCCTCACGTACCACCCCACCAACCTCCGGATCCAACGCATCATCCTCTGACACTTCCGCCATCTGCAATCCGACCCCACTACCAAAGACATTTTTCCCTCCCCACCCTTATCTGCTTTCCGGAGGGACCACTCTCTCCGTGACTCCCTTGTCCGCTTCACACTCCCCTCCAGCCCCACCACACCCGGCACTTTTCCCTGCAACCACAGGAAGTGCTACACCTCCCCCATCACCCCCATCCCAGGCCCCAAGAAGACTTTCCACATCAAGCAGATGTTCACCTGCACATCTGCTAATGTGGTATACTGCATCCGCTGTTCCCATTGTGGCCTCCTCTACATCGGGGAAACCAAGCGGAGGCTTAGGGACCACTTTGCAGAACACCTATGCTTGGTTCGCACTAAACAACTGCACCTCCCAGTTGCGAACCATTTCAACTCCCCCTCCCATTCCTCAGACGACATGTCCATCTTGGGCCTCCTGCAGTGCCACAACGATGCTACCCGAAGGTTGCAGGAACAGCAACTCATATTCCGCTTGGGAACCCTGCAGCCCAATGGTATCAATGTGGACTTCACAAGCTTCAAAATCTCCCCTCCCCCTACCGCATCCCAAAACCAGCCCAGCCTGTTCTTCCTCCCATCTATCCCCTTCTCCCACCTCAAGGCCCACCCCATCTCCTACCTACTAACCTCATCCTGCCCCCTTGACCTGTCCGCT